ACACCACCGCCTCTTCCCGGACCCTGACAGCCTCCGCACGCTGCCTCTCCGCTCTGGGCCAGGGCCCGGCCGGTCTGGGTCGCCACGTGGCCTGTCCCCAGGGCCGTCCGCCTTCTCCTGCCGGCGATTCTGGGGCTCTCCCGGGCGGGACGAGGGGTGCAGCCCCATGCCAGTGTGAAAGGTGCGGCCCAGGCTCGGAGTGACCAGTGTCCCTGGCAGAGGAGGCTGGAGCAGGCGGGAAGGGTGAGGGCGGGGCTCCTGAACAGGCCTGGGGGTGGGGGTGGGGGTGGGGGTGAGGGTGAGGGTGGGGGCCCGCAGCCCGGCCTGACGGCTCACAGGTGAAGGACACCTGCCGGGGCTGTGGCCGGGCAACGTCCAAGTGCGCTCAGGGAGAGGCGGCCACACCCAGGCGTGCCCATCTGGCTAAATCAGGGTCGCCGCCCAGCCCAGGGGCCTGATGGATGGCCATGAGGCACGTTCACTATGGAAACCAGGGAGCCAGCACCCCCCCCCCACACACACACACACACACACTGGGGGCAGGGGTCCTCCATTGGCCCCTCCCCGGCAGGGCGCCTCCCTCCGCTGGGACGGAACCTTCCGTCTTATTTATTTATTTCTTTCCTCCTGGCCCGGCTTTCTCCTGAGTCAGAGCTCCCAGGCGATGCTATCAGCGCGTCTGGGCAGCCCTGGCGATGTGGACACACGGCAGAGGGCACCCGGAGCCCCCGGCTGTCCGGGCCACGGGCAGGGCCTCCTGAGGCAGAGCCGTCCGCCGGCCTGTCTGGCTGGGACCCGCGCTCACAGCCTGGTCTCTCCCGTCTGCTCGGACGCGGGCGGTCAGGCGGGAGGGAAGTGGCTGCAGCCGGGATCTGCTCTGGGGTCAGTGCCTGCAGGCGGGTTGGGGCTGCAGGGAACCCACACAGCCACGTGTCCCGGCCCCTTTCCCCTTCCTGCTGGCGCGGGCCGCAGCCTCTCACATACGCACACGCTTGCTACGGTTGAGCGTTGACCTAGGAACCAGGAGGTCACGGTTGGATTTCCGTTTTTAGGCTGGACCCCTAGTGTGGGGTGTGCAGGAGGCAGCCGGTCCATGATCCTATCATGGATGTTTCTCATTCTCCCTCTCCCTTCCTCTCTGAAGTCAATAAAAAATATATATTAAAGTAAATAAATAAATAAAAGCCTTACAGAAACCTTGGCGCTCAGAAGCCCTCTGTCCCCAGAGCAGGCCGCCTGAGCCGGGCACGTGGCCCCACCGCTTTGGTCCGCGGTGTGGCCGCCTGTGTCCGTGTCCGTGCCCGTGTCACTGTGACGGCCCCGGAGCAGCCGGCACACGGGGCCGAGTGCGGGCAGGAGGGCCGGCTGCTCTGGAAGCCTCAGTGGGAGCGGTGGGGGGCGGGGGGCGGGGAAGGCAGCCGTGGTGGGGGGGACAGGGAGTCATGGCAGCCACGTGGAAGCCTCAGTGGGAGCGGTGGGGGGCGGGGCGCGGGGGGCGGGGAAGGCAGCCGTGGTGCGGGGGACAGGGAGTCATGGCAGCCATCGGGTCCCGGTCACTTTGCCACCTCACCCCGTGGGAATGTCCGCCCGTCACACCCGTGGCCGCGGGATAACAGACGGGGGGCGCTCTGAGACCATCCCGGCGGCTCCAGAACGGGCAGACGCAGCACGCGGCTCTGTCCCAGGTGGACGGGCGACACTGGAGGATAAGGACTGCCATCGTTCCTGCGACGCTCCGCACCGCCCTGCGTGCCCCGCCCCAGGGTGGGGAGTGGGCAGGATGGTGTCGGGGCGGGCAGGAGCTGACTGGGACGGGAAGGGGCAGGGAGGGCTGCCCGGACGGAGGGGGAAGGGGAGGGGGAGGCAGGAGGAGGTCCCCCGTGAGGCCGAGAAGATGGGAGGAGGAACTGTGAGCTGGGGGCAGTGACGGAGGCCCACTAGGCCACGCGGAGGTGGGGGGCCTCGGGGCGCTGGCTGCCCCTTGGGGAGGTGAATGGACTGGGGCGCATGGGGAGGGCGGGCACGGGTGGAGTCTGAATCCCAGGGGTACCCAGGGCTTGGGAGGGGCCCGGAGGCCGCCACCCTGGGTCCTCAGCCACGGGCCCTGGTGGCCCCAGCGGGCGAGGTCCCGTGGGTCACGCGCTCCGCAGGGCGTGCTGGGACCTCAGAGCAGCCCCGCAGAGGAGGCCCAGCGGCTCGGCGCCCCGGCGGGTCCACACGTCTGCCTGAGCCCCCTCCCGGGTCCCCTCCCCGAGAGCAGCCCCGCTGCGAGCCAGACCGGGCGCCTCGAACCCTAACCCCACTGTCCGGCCCATGAGCTCACCTCCCCCAGCCCTGCCGGACAGACAGACAGACCGACCGACAGCCTCTGCAGGAGCCTCCTGCCCGCACTCTGCTCACATGCCCCGCTCAGCCGCCGCCCAGCGCGAGGAGAAGCGGCGCTCACAGTGCCCCCGCCCCCGGCGGCTCCGCCTGCTCCCTGCCCCCCTGCCCGGCACAGTCCCACCCAGAGGCCCTGGCACTGAGGTCCCACTCCCTGCCCTCCTGCTCACGGGCACCTCTACCCGCGCCCGGGGGAGGCTAGCCCACCTCTGCAGCCGCCCCGCCCCTCGGATCTCGCTGCCTTCCCCATCACAGTGCGTGTGCCGCCTTCGGTCTGACCCCTGACCCCTGACCCCTCACCCTCGAAACCGGCACGGGTCTGTGCGCGTCGGCCAGCTGTGACCTCCAACCTGCCCACGGCCACGCTCACATCCCTGGCCCAGTGAGCAGCGGGGCAATGGGAGGTGCCGCCCCCACCCCACCCGCTGCCACTCCCCTGGCACCTGCATCACCCCCAGGAAGGGCCCGGGTGGCCCCGGCGTGTGGGTGCTGCGGTCTGAGGTCAGAGGGTGCCCCAGCGAGGGAACCGCCGCAGCTGTGACTGTGGGCACTGCCCGAGCCGATGGCAGGCAGCTGGCGGGACGCAGACAGCGGCCGCCACGGCCACCATCCCCCCTCGCCGGCGGCTACTGGTGTGACTGGTCAGGACCAGGCCGTGGGCACAGCTTCTCAGACGCAGCCAGGCCTCCTCGGACAGGGCGGCCCTGGACCCTGGCCTGGGAGGGCAAGGGCCGCCCCCCACGGGACTCGGCACCCGCCGTGGACACTGTGGGCGGAACAGCCCTCGGCTGGGGTGAGGCCAGGCCGGTCACCTCCGCCTCCTTCTCCCACACCACGTGGCCTTCGCCCTTTAAAAAAAAACCTTTTTTTTAATTTTTGGTAGGTCTCCAACAAAACACACATAACGTAAAACCTACCACGTTAGCCGGGTTCCAGTGTGCCGCTGAGGAGGACTAAGTACATGCATAGTGTTGTGCAGCCTCACCCCCCTATCCCCCTCAAACAGCCCCCGCCAGCCCCCCCATTCCACTCTGCTCTGTGGACCCCGCGCCCCTGGGGACCACGTGTGCGGGGAGCGGACAGCGTCTGCCCTTGGGTGACGGACGGCTTGCTTCGCTTGGCACGCTGTCCCCGAGGTCCGTCCATGTGCGGCCTGGGCCAGCCCCCCCTTTCCTGAGGCTGAGGGTTACTTCCTCGGGAGGATGGGCCCCGGTTTGCGTGTCCACCCACTGCCGACTTGGCTGCCGTGAACGCCGCTGCATGCAGACGGGCGTAGCAAGATTCCCCCCCCAGGACCCTGATCTCAGTCCCTTTGGGGGGTCTGACCCAGACGTGGGGTCGCGGGAGCCTGCGCTGGCTCTGTGTGTAATGTTCTGAGGGACCTCCACGCCGTTTCCCGCAGCAGCTGCCCCGGTGCCGTTCCCGCCAGCCGCGCGCCGGGTCCCGGTTCCCGCACACCCTCCCGGCGCTGTCACTCCGGCCGTTAGCAGAGTAGCCGCCGTGTGGGTGCGGGCGTCCCATGGCGGTCTGACAGGCACTGCCCTGAGGATGGCTGAGATGGGCGCCTCCTCATGCGCTTACTGGCCGTTGGCTTGTCTTCTCTGGAGAAGCATCTGTGTGGCGTCTCTGCCTGGTTTGACCTGGGTTTCGCTGTTGCTGAGTTTTCGGGGTTTTCTGCCCAGTCTAGATATTCACTTCTTAGCAGATCTGTGCTCGCAATGCTTCTCACCATTGCTTTCGTGGTGGATGCGCAGGGTTTTTTAATGGTCATGGGGCCCAGCTTGTCAGTTGTCTTCTTCTGCTGCCTGTGTGCGTGGGGTCATGTGGTGTCATGGCCAGGAAAGCGCGCTCATCCGTGCCAGGCAGCTCCTGCCTTTTGCTTTCTGAAGGCTCTGAGCCGCTCTGTTTATTTTTGTTCGTGGTGTTAGGTAAGGGCCTCACCACTTTCTCTTTTTCATGTATTTTTTTTTATTGATTTCTTACAGAGGGGAAGGGAGAGGAAGAGAGAGCTTGAAACATCGAGGAGAGAGAAACATCGACCAGCTGCCTCCTGCACACACCCCTACTGGGGATGTGCCCGCAACCAAGGTCCATGCCCTTGACCAGACTCGAACCTGGGACCCTTGAGTCCTTGGGCCGACGCTCTATCCACTGAGCCAAGCCAGCTGGGGTCTTTTTTTTTTTTTTTTTTAATATTTTTATTGTTTTCACAGAGAGGAAGGAAGAGGGGGAAAGAGGAACAGAACCATCAATGATATGAGCGAGCGATGGATCAGCTGCCTCCTGCTCGCCCCACACTGGGGATGGAGCCCACAACCCGGGCCTGTGCCCTGACCGGGAATCGAACCGAGACCTCCTGGTTCCTGGATCAACGCTCAAACACTGAGCCAGCTCCTCCAGTTGGGAAAAAGGCACATCCCCTCTCTCGACACCCCGCTGGGCCCTCTTCCCCTGAGCACCGGCCTCAGCGAACAGGGTGCAGTGCAGGGCCAGGGTGTGTGTTTGATGGGGTTCGGACACCAACTGGGTGGTGCTCCAGGGAGGGGCTTGTCACTGTTTCCCCGGCAGGTCCTGCTTCCCGCCCTGGGGGAGACTCACTCTGTTCTCTCTGTTGGCAGGTGAAGGGCAGATGCCCGAGGCAGGGGGGCCGCAGGGAGCACCCGCGGCCGAGGCCCCGACAGCAGGTCTTCCCGCCGCGCTCAGCAGCACCGTCACAGCCACCGGGGGCCCGACGGCCACAGCCTAGGCGGAGGCGAGCGGACGGAGGCGAGCGGACCGACGACGGCTCCCCACCGCCCGGAGGCCAGGCAATGACCGCTGAGCGGCAGGCCAGGCGGCAGCCCGGGGCGGGGCAGCGACGCTAGGGGGAGGGCCCGGCCCCTCCGGCCCGGCCGGCCGCCGGAGCGCCATGCCAGCTGCGGAAGAGGCGCTGGGGCAGGGGCTGCAGCGGGGCCCGGCCTCGCCCTGCCGCCTGCACTGAGCGCCCGCCCGAGGGCAGCGGGCACAGCGCCGCCCGAGCGAGCGAGTCTCAGCATCCCGTCTCCTCGGGGCCGAGGGAGAGGCCCCCCCCCGCCCCGTCCGCGCTCCCGGGTCCTGGCCGCCGCCCGCCGCTGCCAGACCATGGGATGTCGGCAAAGCTCGGAGGAGAAAGAGGCGGCACGGCGGTCCCGGCGCATCGACCGGCACCTGCGCTCCGAGAGCCAGCGGCAGCGGCGGGAGATCAAGCTGCTCCTGCTGGGCACCAGCAACTCGGGCAAGAGCACCATCGTGAAGCAGATGAAGATCATCCACAGCGGCGGCTTCAACCTGGAGGCGTGCAAGGAGTACAAGCCCCTCATCCTCTACAACGCCATCGACTCGCTCACCCGCATCATCCGCGCCCTGGCCGCCCTCAAGATCGACTTCCACAACCCCGACCGCGCCTACGACGCCGTGCAGCTGTTCGCGCTCACCGGCCCCGCCGAGAGCAAGGGCGAGATCACGCCCGAGCTGCTGGGCGTCATGCGGCGCCTGTGGGCCGACCCCGGCGCGCAGACCTGCTTCGGCCGCTCCAACGAGTACCACCTGGAGGACAACGCCGCCTACTACCTGAACGACCTGGAGCGCATCGCCGCGCCCGACTACATCCCCACGGTGGAGGACATCCTGCGCTCCCGGGACATGACCACGGGCATCGTGGAGAACAAGTTCACCTTCAAGGAGCTCACCTTCAAGATGGTGGACGTGGGCGGCCAGCGGTCCGAGCGCAAGAAGTGGATCCACTGCTTCGAGGGCGTCACGGCCATCATCTTCTGCGTGGAGCTTAGCGGCTACGACCTGAAGCTGTACGAGGACAACCAGACGGTGAGCCGGCCGGGGGGCGGGGGCGGGGTCCCGGGCGTGTGTGTCCGGGGGGCGCGGGGGGCGTCCAGGCTGCCGGCAGAGGGGTCCGGTGGTGGCTCCGGCGATGTGCGTGGCTGTGGTAGAATGTGGAGCACCGGGGGTTCCACGGGCTCCGAGGGACCCCCCAGAGTCACACCTGCCGTCGGGACCGAGGCAGAAGGCCCCGTGTGAGGTGCCCAGCTCCCGGCTCCCGGGGGTGGCGGTGGCAGAGGCCACACGGCCAGACGAGGGGTGGACGTGGCCAAGGTTCGCACCGGCCTCCGTGCAGCAGAGGCGCCGTGCCAGGCGGAGCCCTGAGCGGAGACTCGGAATGCGCCCTCCAGAGGCCTGTGACCCCGGGTGGGGCACGGAGGCAGGCGGGTCCGCAGGGAGCTGTGGGAGTGGGGCAGTAGGTGCCTGGGCTGTGGGTGCCCGGGCGGGGGAGGCGGTGCTGGCAGGACCGAGGGCAGGGGTCAGGGGAGACCCCGTGCTGGTAAACGGGGGTCGGCCTTCAGGGCTGGGGACCAGGGCAGTGGCAAGGACAGGGCTTGCCCCTTCCCCGGTCTTGCTGAGGCAGCTGGGAAGCCCCGATGGGCCTGCAGCTCGAGGAGGGTGTGCGGGCACCTGGGCGCTTTTCTGGGGAGGGTGTGCGGTTCGCAAGGAGACGGCCACTGAGAGGGGAAGCGGCGGCAGCAGCCACGGGGCAGGGCAGGGCTCTCCTCGCGGCCCTCCGTGCCCCGGGTTCTGCCCGGAGCTGTGCCAGGTGTGGCTGGTGGGAGTGGCCTGAGCCGAGGACGACACTGTGTCCCCAGATCAGGCCCGCCTTGCGCCCAGCACCGTGTGGTCTGGAGCTCCAGCCGCCCTTCCGCTCCCGCCTGCGCCCACCTCAGCGCCACGGGCAGCTCTAGGCCCGGGGGCAACCCAGCGAGACAAGGCCAGGCCCTGCCAGGGCAGTGCTGTGGGTGAGGGCTTGGGGCTGGCCAGGCTGTGAGGCCGGGAGGCGAAGCAGGATGCCCAGGCTGGGCCCCGGGGCCGTGCCAGGCAGGTCTTCCAGCCTCATCGACTCCGCGGCCGGCTCTTCAGCTCTCGCCCTTTCTGAGGGGCCTGAGGTTGGTGAGAGCCGTGCTCCGAGCCCTCCGGGGACCGGGCTCCCGGCTGTGTCATCTGTCTTCTCCGGGGGCTGTTGCGGGGAGGCCCCTGGCACCCGGCTTTTCTCCCAGACTCTCCACAGGTGTGCCAGGCCACAGCGGCCGCGGGGCGCCTGTGCCCACAGCTGGGCCCGTGTTTGGAGGAGGGATGTGGCTTTCATCTTCTCTGTCAACCAGGAGGCGGCCCACGTGGCATCAGCCATGGGCCTGGGCCAGCCTTCTGCCCGAGGCCCTCCTGGCCCCCCCAGCCCGTCCTCTCCTCCCCTCTGCCTCTCTGCTTCGTCCTGTGTGTGCCTCCTCCTCCTCCCCGTGCTCTGCTCTCTGCAGCCCTAAGCACCTGCCCACCTGCCTCTGCCCCCAGGCCTCCTCCCAGGGGCCATCTCCTCGGGAGGCCTCTCCCGACCTCCGCCGGGGCCTGCACGCCCCACATGGCGGGCACTCTCATGGGGCGGGCGCAGGCTGAGCGGACAGCCAGGAGGACAGGCAGGGGGACAGCCAGGAGGACAGACAAGAGGACAGGCAAGAGGACAGGCAGTCCCCGGGGGCTCCTGTCTCTGGCTTCTCCTGCCCGGGCCCTGCGGGAAGCCACAGCGGGAGCCGGGTGAGAACAGGCTGCTGGCCTGGCCGTGGGGCTCTGCGCCTGGAGCAGCCGGGCCCGGGCCGGCCGGGCACGGTCTGACGGGAGGGCTGGCAGCCAGGCCGGCCCCGCCCCCGCTACCACCCGGCCTCCAGGCAGGCGGCAGGCCCGGGAGGTGGTTGTTCACCAGAAAAGGAAATTCTTGAGAAACTCAGGCAAGCGAGGCTGGAAATTCACCGGATTCCAAATGGTTCTGACCTTTCATGCTCCACCAGCAATCTCTCCGGACGGAAAACAAACAGGCTCTGAGGGAGACAACGCCTCCCGGGTCCTCCCGCCGCGGCCTCCGAGGTGGGCCAGCCGCCCGCAGCCCCAGCCGGGGCCGGAGCCGGGAGCAGAGCCGCCTCTCCCTCTCCCGGGGCTGCAGACGCGCTGTCCCCGCGCCGCCACGCCTCTGCCCCCTGCCCCCTCCGCCGCCGCCTCGGCCCGGCAGGGCTGCCACCCTGCCGGCTCCCTCTCCCTACGGAGGGCCCTGCACTGCTCCCCCTGGGCCCTGGCGAAGGCGAGGCAGCCAGCAGGCCCTCAGAGGCCTGGCAGGGCGAGCGGAGCCCCCTCCCCCGGCCCCCTCCCCCAGCCCCCCGCCATTTGCGTCAGCAGGTTGCCAAGGGTAACGGCGGGATCTCTGGGCTCTTGGGCACCGCGGGGCGGCTGGCAGCGCAGGGCCACACCTGGGCAGGGGGAGGCGGACTCCCGAGCGTTCTCGGACCAGGGCACCGAGCCGTGCCCGGCCTTGACCGTGACCCAGCTCCCGCCCCACAGATCTCACGGTCCTCACCCCCCGTGCAGGCCCTGCAGGCGCCCGGGCCCAGTCACTGTCCTATGGGGCTTCCCTCGACGGCGTGGGAGGCCGCGCACCGCCCGGAGATGCCTCACCTGGCTGATCATGCGGGCAGCGGCCGTGGCCGCGGTCCCTGTCACGGGTGGGGAGGCAGGGGCCACCCAGGCCTGCAGCTGGTGGTGGCCGTGGGAAAGCCCGGCCCCAGCCTGCCCTCAGGGGGAGCCACTCCCAGGGGCTCGGCCTCCCCACTTTGCCTGCCTCCCGGCCCCTCCAGGAGGGAAGACAAATGTGCAGGCTCAGCCGCGGCCTCACTCATGCAGAGACCACCCACCCGCCCGCCATGGCAGCCCAGGCCCATGCCCGAGGTCTGCACCGGCCCTCACCCAGCCTGCCGTCACGGGCTCCCCCTCCTCAGGGAAAACGGGGTGCCCGCTGCCCGCCTCGGCCCCTGCAGACCTGCTAATGGGCCGTGTGGCCACTCCACAGGGAGGGAGCCCTCAGGAGAGGCCGGGTGAAGGCTGCCTGTAGGGTCAGCGTGTTCCCGGGTGAACACACAGCCGCTTGTCACTGCCCATTCCCAGCACAGCGTGCTGTTCCCAGCCCTGTGGCAGCTGCTGGGTGCCTGCTGTATACCTGCTAGGTGCCTGCTGTATGCCTGCTGGGTGCCTGCTGTATGCCTGCTGTATACCTGCTGGGTGCCTGCTGTATGCCTGCTGGGTGCCTGCTGGGTGCTTGCTGTATACCTGCTAGGTGCCTGCTGTATGCCTGCTGTATGCCTGCTGGGTGCTTGCTGTATGCCTGCTGGGTGTCTGCTGTATACCTGCTGGGTGCCTGCTGGGTGCTTGCTGTATGCCTGCTGGGTGCCTGCTGGGTGCTGCTGGGTGCCTGCTGTATACCTGCTGGGTGCCTGCTGTATGCCTGCTGGGTGATTGCTGTATGCCTACTGAGTGACTGCTGTGTATACCTGCTGGGTGCCTGCTGTATACCTGCTGGGTGCCTGCTGGGTGCTTGCTGTATGCCTGCTGGGTGCCGGCTGGGTGCTGCTGGGTGCCTGCTGTGTACCTGCTGGGTGCCTGCTGTATACCTGCTGTACACATGTTGTATATCTGCTGTATGCCTGCTGGGTGCCTGCTGTATACCTGCTGTGCACATGTTGTATATCTGCTGTATGCCTGCTGGGTGATTGCTGTATGCCTACTGAGTGACTGCTGTGTATACCTGCTGGGTGCCTGCTGTATACCTGCTGGGTGCCTCCTGTATGCCTGCTGGGTGCCTGCTGTATACCTGCTGAGTGCCTGCTGTATACCTGCTGTACACATGTTGTATATCTGCTGTATGCCTGCTGGGTGCCTGCTGTATACCTGCTGTGCACATGTTGTATATCTGCTGTATGCCTGCTGGGTGCCTGCTGTATGCCTGCTGGGTGCCTGCTGTATACCTGCTGTGCGCATGTTGTATATCTGCTATATACCTGCTGGGTGCCTGCTGTGTATACCTGCTGGGTGCCTGCTGTACACCTGCTGTGCACATGTTGTATATCTGCTGTGCGCTTGCTGTGTAACTATTGTGCACCTCGTGTGGACCTGCTGTGCACCTGCTATGCACCGGCTGTATACCTGCTACGTGCCTGCTGTATGCTGCATACCTGCTGTGTGCCTGCTGTATAACTGTCGTGCGCCTGCTGTGTGCCTGCTGTATAACTGGCGTGCGCCTGCTGTGTGCCTGCTGTATGCTGCATACCTGCTGTGTGCCTGCTGTATAACTGTCGTGCGCCTGCTGGGTGCCTGCTGTATAACTGTCGTGCGCCTGCTGGGTGCCTGCTGTGGGCTAGCTGCTGACGGACTGTGGTGGGGCACTCTCTCCCAGTGCAGTCAGTGTCAGGTCTGCAAACCCTCGTGCTGCCTGGTGACACCTGCCCTCCCTCAGGACCCAGCAGGGGCGGTTCCCAGGGGTATCCCCAGACCCGCTCTTTGTCTCTGTGGCTGACGCGTCCCAAGCGTCATGGAGGGAACGGCCAGCTGCTGGGGGGTGGCCAGCTGCTGGGGGACGGCCAGCTGCTGGGGGACGGCCAGCTGAAGGGGACGACCAGGTCCCACAGCTGATCGCGGGGCGCCCCAGCACTTAGGACAGCCCCGCTGTGTGCGGGCTGCACAGCGCTGGCCCCCTCCGAGGCCCTCTGCTCGGTTGCCGGCCTGTGGCGGCCTCCAGAGGCGCAGGTCCTCTGGCTGCCACCTCAGGGGCCGGGGTCTGACCGGCGGCCGTGCCTCGGTGGATGGCTGGCAGGGAGGGGTGGCTGCTTCGCGTAGTTTGAGGGGCGCCAGCTCCAGCCTGTGGGGGGCCTGGGCGGGTGGCGCGAGGGGACCCCGCCCCGCGGCACAGCCTGGCACCTGTTTTGGGCCCAAGCACTTGGCAGCTGACA